TCCCCAGTTAATTAACTGCTTATTTTAAACAACATCTGAACAAAATTATTTCCATAGGATCTCTTAGATCCCATTATTGTAGGATTTAATCCGTAATGAGTTAAATTCAACTTGCTAGCAATTTGCTATGGTACCCTGTGATGAAGCTACAAGGAAGAAGCATATCATATAAACGTGCATATATATATTTAAAGCAGATTATTTGAATATGCAAAAATGTTGCTGTTTTTTTCAGTCGTGTGCAACTCTTCATGACCCGTATGGGGTTTTCTTGGCAAAGATACTGGAGTGGTTTGCCATTTCCTTCTCCAATAGATTAGATAATAGGTTACCTGACTTTCCCGGGGTCACAAAGCTAGTATCTGAGGCCAGATTTGAACTCAGCTTTTGTTGACTCCAGGCCAAGTTCTCTAAGCCACCTAGCTGCCACAATTTTCAGTACCGTGAAACGAAGTGATCGATTTCTTTCTAAGAACTGGGTAGTACTATCATTACATTCTGATTTTTGCTTGACATTACTATGAAGTCAAATTAATAATCGCTTCTTAAGTGCTTACTTATGTGTCCAATATGCTAAGTACAGATACTACTACTAGCATTGTGAGAAAATAGAGATTTAGACCAATGGATAAAAAAATGGATCAGAAGTTATGGCTTACTCATAACTGATCCTACAGCTAATGGCAGAGAACCTTAACTAAAACATTGGATGAAAAGATTTTGCTTTAGATTAATATAGTTGGATTTTTCTGTTGAATTGTATAATTAAATAGATATCTTTTATGTAACTTGGAATAGAATTCAGAGCTATTGGGTCACCTTAATAGAAAAAGTGAGACCTGCCATATCTGCATTATGATTAGCCCTGTTAGAATGATGTAGGTTGTTTGGGGGCTGCTGGAGGGAATGGGGTGGGCTGGTGCTGGGACTTAAAATTAAGATTATCTGGAATCTTAAGGGAGGATGGTAGAAAAGAGATGTTTGCCAGTTCAGAATGAAAGGTAACCCCTTAGACGGGAAAGGAACTTCATTTTAAAGATAATAGGGCCCTGCAAAGTTGCGACTTGCCTGAGGCCTCACAGGTCTCATCAGCTGAGAATTGGGACCAGGACTCAGGGTCTCCTTGGGGGCTATAGTAATACCAGGGTATAATTTTTACACCTCAATCCAATTATATGCCAGTGTATGATTTCAGCGAAATGTAATCTCCGGATAAAGCCAGAAAGACATCATTTCTCGAGATCGTTGTTTTTTCATAGTCTTACTAAAAAAAATTTGTAGAGGTGTCAGTCATCAGATGCATGTTAGTGTGAAATTCAGAGAAGTACAAAGATCAAACCCTCCAGGGCAATAAAGCAAAAGGGACCCTGTATAGAAGCAACTGCCCTTACAATGAATGGTTTTTGCTTCAGTAAAGAAATAAGGACAAAACAGGATCAATATAATGTTCTCATTTCAATCAGAAATCTGGATTATCTGGTACTTCTGAACGATAGCAGTATAATGATAATTGGTGCCTGCAGTGATGATCCTGAGGCATTTTAAAAACCTGGCCTCCCCTTCATCAGTTATGTGCAGTAGTAAGGTTTTACCAGTGTGTGCTAAATATATATTTTTACATATGTGTGTGTATATATATGTATCTATATATAACTATAGGCAACTGGGGTTAACTGACTTGCCCAGGGTCACACAGCTAGTAAGCATCAAGTGTTTGGTCTGAGGCTGGATTTGAACTTGGGTCCTCCTGACTTCAGGGCCAGTGCTCTTATCTACTGCGCCACCTAGCTGCCCCAGCTAAAATTTTTAAAGTTTTTTTTTTTAATTGGCAGTCTATGTAGTGTAATAACCTGAACCCAAAAGGCACCATTGGTATTGGGGATACAGCTGGCCTCAAGTCCTGGAAGACCTGGGTTTAAGTTCCACCCTGATGCATCCTGCCTGTGACTGGGAAAGTCACTTGCTGTCAGCCTGCATTAGGAGAGGGAGTTTCTTCACCTGAAATTTCCCTAACCCAATAAAATAAGGTCCAGTCCCTATTTTGTCTTGAATATAGCTGTAAAATGAGGATACAAAAGGTACTACAATACACTGGAGTGTCTTTAAGGAAATAGTCTGTAAATCTCAACAGTACATATAAAGGCATGTTGTTGTAGCCCCTTCCCCTATACCTGAATAAAGCACTTTACATCTCTTATCTCATTTGAACTAACAGTCCTTGAGATTGAGCACTATACTATAGTTATCCTCATTTATACATTAGGATACTGGGCTTGAGGGGAAGTGACTTTCACAATCACACAAGGATGATCTGAGGCCAGATTCAGACTCTTGCTTTCCAGACTCTTAAGGTCAGTATTCTATTAAGCCATTAAGCTATTAATTCTACCCTCTACTAAATACATAGTATTGTGCTAAGTAATAGCTCTAAGAGCTTTTTAAAAAATTAAACTTTTTTAACCTGGTATTTTATTGGTTGAGGGAATCTTCCACTGAAGCTGCATTCAAATTCTGGCTGTGAACCCCACCTATATGGCAAGAGATTTAGCTGACCAGGTTACTCATTTGTTTAAAAGAAATGGCAGTTGAATTTAATGACCTTTGAGGTGCCTTCCGGCTTTCAGTCTGTGATTACACGTGCAATAATTTCTAGGGAATGGCCAGAGTGCTTATGCAAATGCATTGGAGGTGGCTGTGGGTTACAAGAGACCAAACCCATTAGACTGAACCAGAATGGGAATAGTGGGAAATAAAGCTGGAAGGATAAATTTCAGCCAAGATGCAACGGGCCTTGAATAATGGCTATAAAAGTTTTTCCCAAGAATAAGGGGAAACCATGGATTAGTAATATCGTAGCAGTATGAAGGATAGATCAGAGGAGTGAGAGACTAACAAGAGAATATAGGCAGAAGACAAATACAACAACAGGGCAAAAGGTGACTGAGGGAGATGAGATGGAAATTTTACACATGCACAGGTACACATTCAGTCAGCATGGCATTTGTTCAGCATATGCTGTGTGCCAACAACTTGGGCAGTGGAGATTCAGATGCAGAAAGTGAGATATTTCTTGTTCTCAGAGTTTGAAAACCTGCATAGAGGCTCTGGGGCTCACTCTCCCAGCCCACACTTAAGATGGTTCATTTGGCAGAGCAATTGGCTACTGCACCCCTCTGGGTTCAGGTATAACCCTGATAGTTTGGGGGGTGGTAAGGTCTCTAAATACTATTATATAGTTTGGAGGGTGGTAAGGTCTCTAATACTATTATCCATAGAGGTAGACGAGATGTACAAGCTTGTACAAGGTGCTATCTTGGGTAAATAATGCAAAAATAATTACAATCTAGACATTTTTGCTTTACAAGAGGCAGGGAGAAGAGCGTATGTTTGCAGTGCACTTTTTGAGATTTGTATTGTGAGGTACATGCATTTTTATGATATTAAGCATTGCAGTGATCCCCAATTACAGATGGGAAATTTGTAAACTAAGGCTGAGAGGCCAGATAATTGCCTCAGGCCCCTGGGCTAGCAAGCAGCTATTGGAGGTTCGAATCTTAAATCACTCAATATATATTAATTCAACACCTACTATGCACTAGGCAGTAGAGCTACAAATATAAATAATTCCTATACTTATGACAGTCTTCCTCTACCTACAAGCTGCAACCATCCATCTGTCTTTATCCAGTATTATCCATGGCCTAAACTGGACCTACCCAGGGTAAGAAACTCCCTTTCCCAATGTAGATTGACACCTCAGAAACGAGTCAAAAAAGACTGCCCAGCGCCTGAGAGGTTAATGTGAAAAGTTTCCTCACCCTATCAAGCTCTGCACCATTTCTGTAATTTTAAAACTTTGTCTCCGACGGCAGAGAGAGATTAAGTGACTTGGCAGGGGTCACTCGGCTAATAAGCATGAGAGGCGGTACTTGAACCCAGGTCTTCCAGGCTGGCTACTCTTTGCCCCACCATACAGAGGCACACCCACTCCCCAATTCAACCCAGCAAGCATTTATTAATTGCACCCTATGCTCACGCTGATAATACTAGGTTGGCAGATGGATGATTAGCTGTTCAGACAGACAGACAGACAGACACACACACACACACACACTCACACCCCTTTTTGTAGCTGCTGGTGCACGTGTACACACGTATCTGTATCCCAGTTAAAAAAAAAGTTCCGCATGCCGGTTCTATGGGTAATTTTGGTCCAAATGCTTGCTGGGGCAATCTACCCGGTTCGGGATGCAGATGAGCTACCTCTGCTCCCCGTGATCCATCAGAACTCAGCAAGGTCTCATTGCTCAAACCCAATTTCCGCAGTGATTCCGACATAGGACAATGACAGAGACGACAGCTGGATGCTAACACCAGCAGCGTCCGGAGCTGAGATTTTCCCAGCAGTCTTTTCCTTTCCGGGCAGAGATGAAAGGCTGCTACGCCTCTGCCTTCAGTCCTAATCAACTTCACGAAAACACTATTCCCACCACCTCGTCCCTAAAGGTGACTTCCTCCTTACCTGAAACCTAGTCCGCTTGTCCATTTTCATTATTGAATGTATCACTATAGGAGTGCATAAGGTGCTTTTAAAAAGGATAGGAAATCTGGGAAGTTTCTTACATTACATTCTTTGAGCGTCCCCTTTAAGGGATTTGGTCCCACCTTTTCCCCGTCTGCCCGCTGGCTCTGCTTCTTGCCAATCACCCGGTCTTTAGAATATTTCCTGTGTACTGCAACTAAACTTGCATGTCTCCGCCTCTTCGCCTCACTCATTGGGCCAGCCTGGGTCCGTAGACTCCTCAGCCTTCCCTCCACCTCCTCCTCCTCAGGGTGTTCTGGCCTCGCATTGGCTGGCACAGCTGACTCCCTGCCGGCGGGTTGGCCAGCTGCGTGGCGGGGGCGGGAAGTCGGACCATCATTGTAGGCTCTGCGCGTGCAGAGCGGTTGCCGCGGGAGGGGGGAGGGGGAGGGGAAAGGGGAGGGGGGGGCTGGGAGAGTTGAGGCCGTGCTGCCGCCGGGGTCTCCGGCCTTGGGGCCTCTTAGCGGCCGCAAGAAGAGGCGGCTGGGGGCGGGGGGAGAGGGGCCGGGGCCCACGCTCCCCCAGCCCCGGAGGAGGCCGAGGCGGAGGGAAGGACAAACGGACGGACCCATCCCAGCGGCCGGACACCCTCCTCCACACCACCCCCCTCACCCCGTCGTCCGCCGGGGATCATGGCCGGGGCTGGGGCAGCTGCCGCTGCGGCCAGGAGCGCCCTGCCGGCCGGTGAGTGTGCGAGGGGAAGCACCGCTGTCAGCTGCCGCCGCCCCCAGGACGGCGCCGGGCGGCTCTGGTCCACCCCTCCCCTGCCTTCCTCCCGGCGGTGCCGGAGCGTGGAGGGGAGAAGCAAAGTGCGGACCTCCCTGGGGCGCGGGGGCGGGGGCAGGGGAGGAGACCCCGAGCTTCGGGGGGTGGGGGGAGGAGGAGGGGTGGAGCACCGGGGCGCCTTTTTCTTCCCCTCCTGCCCCTCTTCCTTTTTTCTGCATCCCATCCCTCCCCATCCCCTGTTTTCCTTTCTGGGAGAAAGATAATTTCAACCACCCTTTGACGTCCCCCCACCCCCACCCCCTTCCATCTCTCGGCCCTACCGCACCCAGCTTGCCTTTCTTTCCGAGAGGTTTCAGATGGGCTGGTTCTCGTCTCTCCACACCCCCCCCCCCCCCCCGGCAGCTGCATGGAGACCGGCTCTGAACGGCCTTAGCCCCTTGTCAGCCCTACTTTGCAGTCTTTCCTCTATTTCCTAATTTCCTCTCTGTTTCCTAATTACCTGCATCCCCCTCTCCCCTCAGACTTGAGCTTAGGGTTTGCACCTTTACTCCCGGGGTCTCTTCCTCCAGAGAGTTATCTAGCTCCTGAGGCCAAACTGCTGTGTAAGTCAGTGAACAGGCATTCACGAAGCACTTAGCATGCGCCAGGTACTGTGCTAAGCTCTGGGGATACAAAGAAAGGCAAAACGAGGAAAATTCCAAAATTTAATTTCAATTCATTCCACTCGATTACTCAGATGGATCTCTGATCTCATCAATGTGTATGTTTCCTTTCAGCTCCTTGTGCCATCTTATCCTGTGGTACTCCCCATGCCCATCCTGATCTGTTTGCCATATTGTTCTTTAAGCATCCACAGCTTTAAGTGCCATATAGAACACAAGAAAGACAAACTTGACCAACATAGTCTGAATGAGAAAGTGGGTTGGTTCTTTTAAATAGTGGGTGAAACAGGGTACAGAGTTCATAAATTTATATTTTGTATTGAAATACATAGATAAGACAACTTATTGTCGGTACAACAGCTTTCTTCAAAGAAGAAAAACTGGCCTTTTTTAAAAGATAAATTCAGCAATCTGACCCTAACCTCCAAATATCCTGTTGAATTTTTTCAGCTAAACGTCATGCTTCATGTGATGACCAGTTGTGGTATGGGAGAGGTCGGGAACAAAAGCATCTTGATTTTAGTGTCATTTTATTTTTGCAAAGTGCTTTAAAAGCATTTTAATCACAGTTCACCTCTTAATAATAGGCTTATTGAATGACTTTGAATGTTTATTGGAGTGGATTTATAGATCTCATAGCTTACTCTAATGAAGGAACATGCATTCCTGAATACTAAATTTTCTCAGTATTTAAAGGAAGCAGTTAAAAAACTGGACTTTAATGTTATGTCTGACTCGTGCTTGTTTACTGTATAGGAAAATCACTGACAAATGTATTCACCATAGTTCTGAAATAGCAATTTTCTGTTATTTGTCAAAGAGATGCCTTGAAAATAGCAATTCTGAAACTGTACACTATGCAATCAGTGAACCAATCATGTAAAAAGAATTGACAACTTTTTTCTGTTTCCAGAACTTTAGCATTGTTTTCTGTATTTCAGTATTTCCAGAGATCTGTGATTTCATGTATGTGGGTTTTAGGAGATGACATGAATTGATGCAAAAAAAAAAATTCATCACCTGGTAGGTAGCCAGCCCTCTACTGACGGACCTCTTCACATTTAACTAGGTTGTTGCTTGGCCAATAGACATTCAGCCTATCACTGAACTGAAAGTCAGTATAGTTATGATAAGGAGAAAAAGCTATTTTAGTACAAGAGAAAAATATCTAAATTTTAAACTACCGCAAGAATAAGTGGGTAACCACTTCAGAAGTGACTGAATATAAAGAGAGGCTCAAACTTAGTTCATAAATTACTGCTCTCCTAACCTTGTTCACCCCATTTCCCTTTTTTAGAATGCTTTTCCTTTTTTTTCTTTGTCTGTTTAGCTTTTCTTCTTTCTTTAAGGCTCATCCTTCCTTCTCTTTTGAGAAGTCTTCCTAGATCACTGCAGTTCCCAGTCATTTCTTCCCTGAATCTAGATCATAGAATTTTAGATCTGAAAAGGAGTTTAGAGATTATATAGACCCAACTCCCTAATTTTGCTGATAGGGCCACTGAAACTCTGAGAAATAAGGTGTTTTACCAGTGTTCCAGAGCTAGTTATTGGAAGAATTGGAACTAGAATTGAATTTTCTTGACTTTTTAGTCCACAAGTGTTTCTCTAGCTTTTGTCTATACCATTCTTTTCTTGAACATTATTATTTAACTTTTCATGTATGTACTTCTTAATTCTCTAACTAGATTGTAAGAGAGTAAGAAACGTCTAGTAATTTTTTTTCAGCTTCTCCACAGCTTTTAGCACATGCTTTGCTCATGGTGCACAGCTCTTGTTTTTTGATTATTTGAAATAATCAGTTTTGTTCAAATATATTTTTGCCATTCTAATTTTGTTCAGGTTCAGTAGTTTTATCAAATACATAGATTTTGTTACATTTTGAGTCTATTTGCCATTATTGGGATTTTTTTGATTGAAATTACACTTTTGGCTAGTGTGTTTCAGGTGTTCTTTGTGTAATTCTTCAGTTTTGAATTCAATTTGGAAAAGATGTATCACATACCCTTTAAATGCAAGGCACTGTATGAGATGCTGGGGATTAAAAAAAACAACAACCCACAAACAAATGAAACTGTTTCAGCCCTCACAGAGTTTACATTCTATTCAGAAGCAATACAAAATATGTACATAGTAATTCCCAGGGGGAGGGCATATGTCTAATATGGAGGGTAGTTTGTTAACAGTGGAGGTGAGGAGGTAAAGGGAAGTGCATGTTGGATATCACAATGGAAGGGTACTGTGAATTGGGCCTGGGACACAGAAGGGATGAGACCCACGTGGATGGGTACAAAGAAAAGGGGAATAGTGGCAGGGAAGGGAATTTTGCCCAAGGCAGCCTAGTACTCCAAGTGCAACAAAATAGGGTAGCAACGATGTTGTTGATTTGATTATCGATCCTTGAGAGAGAGAGAGATTTGTAGTGTGAGGAATGCACCAGTGGCAGGGCGGTCTGGTTCTTTCTGAAGGAAAGGGATCTGTAGAGTCCAGAGTTATGGCAGGTCATAGACATGTAAGACATATTTGAATTGAGATGTGGGTAATAAGAATCCTCCCTACTCTGTAATCACCTTCAGGTTTGGGGTAACTAAAAATAAATTTTGTTCAGGACACAATTTTTGTTGAGACTGTTTTTGTCAGTGAAATCTGTATAGCTTTCAAATAGCTTAACTAACAGAGATAGCACAATTAGTTCATCCCCTTTTAAAAAAAGTATTCAGCACTTACTTAATTTTGCAATTGCTGGGCTAAGTGTACAAAGAGTACTTCAGAAAACACATTCCTACCCTCTGGCATGAGTTAAGAATAGCAAGATAGCTTAGTGTTAGCTGGCTTCTGCAATGAAATAGTCTTATGATGTCCCTTACTTCCAGCTGTTCCATACTAGGGGATTGAACTGTGGGATAATGACAGACCCTGTTAGTTCTGTCTGATCCTTTCCTACTCTACCCATATGTGTACCTTGAATCTTTCATTCAGAGTTCCAAAGTTTGGCTCTTGTAATCAATAAAGAGCTTGTGGAATGTCTCCTAAGAGTAAGGCTATTAACTGTTCAGTTGGATGATTATTCCTTTTCTCATTAAATTTTACATATGGTTGCAGTTGCATTGCCTCAGAAGGCCTAATCTTCTAATTATAATGGTAGGCTGTGATAAGTAGCTGCTATTAATGCCTATATGTTGTATGTTTTAAATTCAATTCAGCAAATATTTATGGAGCACATACTTAGAACTGCTAGTTGCTGTAGATATGAAAAAAAGTACAGGAGAGACCCTGTCTTTCCTATTGTGGATGTAAGTAAGATATGCATGTAACAGCAAAAGCACAATATGTATCTGTAAGAGATAGTGACCAAATTGTGTAGTAAGGTATCATAGGTGCTGAGAAAAATAATAGAGCAGTATAAATTAGAGTCCTTAAGGAGAGCTTACTGGAGGAGATGGAATTTGGGATGATTCTTAATAGGATTTGGATAAACTGCAGTGGAAAGAGCTTTCTAATTGGGGAACATAAACAAATACAAGAATAGAAAAGGTTTGTAAAGATACTGCTCTCAGTGAGGAAGGAGGATACTTAGTGGGAAATTGTGGGTGTAAGATTGGGAAGGAGGGGCCAGTTGATGTAGCATTTTGTTTTCCAGGATGAGTATCATCAGTTTTAATCCAGCAGGCAGTAGGAGGGGAAAATAATAGATTTTTTTTTTGTAGGAAGGGTAGTGACATGATGGGCAATAGAGTATAGGACTTTTTTTTTCCTCAAGAGAAGAGACTTTGCAAGCAGAGACACTAAACTATTTCATTTGAATAGAGCCTGGACTAAGTTGATGAAGTGGATAGAAAATTGGAGTGATGGAAGTGAGGAACATTGGAAGGAAAGAATTGTCAGAAGTTGGTGAGAGAGAAATAGAAGATGAACTCTGACCTTAGACAAATCAGAAATGGTGGTGTTGACCAAAATGGGGAAATTGAGAGTGAGATTGGTAATAATCTCAGTTTGGGACATGTTGAGTTTGAAGCAATTAATTGCCTGATGTCCAAGTGGAAATATTTTGAAAACAAAACTAGTCTAAGAATTGGTTTGGATAAGATCAGAATTAGAGATATAGATTTGGATGTCATTCAGTTGAACGGATATTTAAATACTATTTAAAAACTGCCATGATAGGCTCTAGGGAGAAAAAGGATAAAAATGAAACTATTCTTGGGTTGATCCAATGTGTGCACAAATGTAATATAAGATAATTTGAGGAGAGAGAGAACACTAATAGTTATAGAATGGCAGAGAGGGAAGGTTTTCTTA